AACCCGAAGACGGGAGGGCGGTGCCTAGCCGCATCGAGCCGCTAACCCAAACGAGGACTCGGCAAAGGTTAGTCGTCGTTAGGTGACCAAAACAAGTAGACCGCAGGCGAATCCCCGAGCCGGAGGAGGAAAGCACCCACTAGGCGGAAGCACCAATGGGCGTAAAGAAGTAGGAATGACCAAGCCGTAGCCATCACAAGTAGAAAAAACACCAACACACCAAAACCATCAACGATAGCCCAGAGTGTGTCGCCCATGGCAAAGAGCTTACAAGCCCTCAAGAACGGGAAGCCTACCCAACAACCAAAATAGTAGGATCCTTGTGATGATAAAAAAAGATCATGAAGAACATGATTTGGAACCACCCGAGGGTGTGGTTGATCGATCTATGGGTGTCCTCAAAGATCCTCCTATTTCTCTCCCCCATATGAGGTAGACCGTAATGCTTAGCGAGACTCTATTTATCCTTGAAACTAACTTTTTCATCGGGTAGATAGTCCTCTCATAGCACTCGGAAGAGTAGTCATACCTCGAGAAAGATGTAACCACCGTTTGATCCGAGACCACAGAGACCAAGACCAACTGGAAGCAAAGAAGAGATGACCGTGGGACTCCTCATCTTGGTGACATAGGGGACACAAGGGATCCTCGCAATATAGTGAAGTCGATCTCTAATTCTCAACTTGCCCCTAATAGCCAACCGGAGAATAAAAGCATACCGTGATAAAGACCATTGTTCCCGCACCACATGGACCCGGTTTACCAACACACCTTTCCACCGAAAATGCTCATAAGCATGATGGGTAAAGTTCCCATCCCCACGAGTTGGTAGAGCTCTTTCTTTTTCTTTTTTTTTTTTGATTTAAATGTTAGTGTATAAATCAAAGGGAAACAGAGTTAGAGAACCGAGTAGAAGTAGCTTATACAAGATATACAAAAAAGTGGGAACAGGTTCCCAAGACAAAGCAAAAGAGCTAGAAACTAAAAGTTGTTCAAGGAATCTAACAAGTAAAGATTCCAAGAAAAACTCCTCAATTTACCGATCTAGCTAACCGGAACCATATACAAAGGCTCAACAACGATCCAAAATATTAGTCGAAAGGCCAAAGTGAGCTATTAAACAATTTACAAAAACCAGCTATACACGAAGATGAGAACACAAAAACCTAAAAGGAGCAATAGCAACCAAGGCTAAACAAATCTAGAAGGTAGGGAAGCAAGCCTAGTGGTTCTCAGTGCTGCCATGCCAAGCAAGGATGCGAGTAGAGTTTAGCCCGAGCCGTGCAACCAAAACGACCCAACCGGACAACCCATTCGGAGGCAAAAAACACCAACCAAGTAGACACACGAAGGAGTTGACGAAACAAGAGCATCCATGCCGGAGCCAACATAGCGGGCAAACTACAAGACTCAAGACACCCAACCAATAGGCACAAGCACTACTACCAACCAAGCCGTGGCGAAAAACTCATAGCCACCGATAGAGGGAAGCCTAACCAACATCAAGAATAGCGGGATCCTTTTGATGATAATAAAAGATCATGAAGAAAAGGATTTGGAACCTTCTAAAAGTGTGGGCAACTCGATCTATTGGTTGCCTCAAAGATCGTCCTATTCCTTTCCCCCTAAATGAGGTATACAAGCAATGCTTAAAGAAACCCTTTTCATCCCGAAAACCAAGTTTTTTCACCGGGTAGATAATCCTCTAATAGCACTCGGAAAGGTAGACATGCCTCTAGTCGGATGTAACCACTGTTTGATCCAAGACCACGGAGACTAAGACTAGCTACAAGCAAAGAAGAGATGATTGTGGGACTCCTTAGCTTGGTGACATAGGGAACACAAGGGATCCTTAAGGATATAGTGAAGCCGATCTTGGGTTCATAGCTTGCCCCTAATAGCCAACTAGAGAATAAAAGCATGCCGTGGTAAGGACCATTGTTCCCAAACCACATGGACCCATCGTACCCGATCACCTTTCGACTCGAAATGCTCATAAGCATACCGCGTGAATTTCTCATCCTCGGCTTTCCAACTCGCATCAAATCAATGACCCGCATACTATCCCCAATCTGCTGGACTAATCAACTTTTCGGAGTAGTGATGGATTTTCACAAATGAGAGGCTTGTTTATGGGCATGAGCCTCCCACACCGAATGGTGCTCGAAGCTAATAGTGATTCACCCACCGAATCCAAACCGAATCAGATTTGAGATGAATATCCTAAAGCTCGCTTAGCAATGACGAAGCATTACGAGATTTGATATCAAAGAGGCCCAATCCACCCTCCTCCTTTGGGCGGCAAATATGCTTCCAAGAAACTAGGGCAAGATCTGAATTTTTTAGCATCTCCCGACCAAAGGAAGTTCTCCGCAGATGCCGACAATGCTAGAAATAATCGTAGAGGGAAGGGGGAAGATAGATATCCAAGATCGAATCATGCCAGTCAAAACAGACCATAGGAGCTCTAATCTATCGACAAAAGAAAGGTGCTTCTCCATCCAACCCCGAATAGCATCCTTAAGCCTCCGAATAAGTAGAGAAAACAAACCGGCTAGTAATCTATGCGGACTAAGAGGGACTCCCAAATATGTAAAGGGAAAGGTGCCTTCACCGAAACCCGAATCTTGAACAATAGCAGTTCTTAGACCGTTGTTGACTCCCCCAAAATATATGGAAGACTTGGCGACATTAGTGACCAACCTCAAAACCTTGGCAAAAGCGACCAGTTGACCAAGCAAACATTGAACCGACCGTCTATTATCGTAGCATAAAAGAAGAACATCATCGACAAAGGTGATATGGCCGATACATTGAGCCTCACATTTCGGGTGAAAACCGAATCTCTCTCGGGCGATAGCAATCCCAAGCATGCGAGAGAAATGCTCCACATAAATAATGAAAAGATAGGGGAAAAGAGGGTCTCCTTACCTAAACCCACTCGCCCCGAGAAGAAACCAAAGAGCCTTCCATTCACGATTACCGAGAAAGAAGTAGACCCCACATAAGCCATAACCAAGGTCACGAAGAAAGGCGAAAACCCAATCCGGAGTAGAACGGCTCTCAAAAAGATTCCACCGAATTGAATCAAAGGCCTTAGAAAAATCCACTTTAACCAAACATCGTGGAGAAGCTCGCTTCCTTCCATAAAGTCGAAGGAGCTCGTGCGGAAGGTGAATATTATCTAACATTTTCCATCCCCCTAGGAAAGCATTTTGCATGGGGCTTACAATGTCTATCAAATCCCTAGCAATTCTAGAGGAGAGAGGCTTGGAAATGACTTTACGAGAGGGCATTACAACAAGAAATAGGCCAAAAGGCGATCATCATGGTAGCATGGGAAGATTTGGGAACCAAGGCTATGATAGAGTGATTAACTCCGCTTCAACGAGCTTTCTCGATGAGAAAAATTCCCTCACGGCTAGATAGAAATCAACACCCACAATGCCCCAAGCCATTTTATAAAAGAGCGAGGAGAACCCATCCGGCCTCGGAGCCTTAGTGTTATCAATATCGAAAACCGCCTCCTTAATCTTATCATTAGACACGAGTGAGAGCAGCATGTCTTGGGTGACTTGATCTAAACACGGGCTTGATGCAATGACATCCAAATCCAAAGGCAATGTATCCCTAGCCGAACCAAGGAGGTTCTAAAAAACCTTACAAATTCCTCTCCCACGGCATCAATCGAAGTGGTGACATGGCCATTACAACCCCGAACTGCGGCTATGAAATTTCTCCTATGATTCCGACCCATAAGAGCATGAAAGAATTGTGTGCCTCAATCACGAGTCTTAAAGGAACTTATACTTTAGCTTCTAGCCAAAGAAAGACTTTTTCGCCGCTTTGAGGTTGAACACCTAAAGCCGTAGGCTTCTCTCCTCGCCTAGAAGATGAGAGTTAGCTTGGTCATTCTATAAAGCTTCTTGGTTGAGAAGGAGGTCGGCTTCGCTCTAGCAACCCGTTTAAAAATATGACTAAAATGCAACGTATTCAACTCTTTCAAAGGCCATTTCAACAATTTCAATTTCCTACAAAAGAAAAACATAGGAGTTCCCTGGATGTTAACTTGCCAATGCCGCCCAACAATGTGAAGAAAACTATCATGAGAAGTCCTTATGTTAAAGAACTTAAAGCAAGTCGACTTAGGGGGACACCGGGTATTCAACTCGGATGGAAGCCGCAAGCATGATCGGAGAAAGCACTCGGTGTGTTGTAATGAACAAGAGTAGGTAGCCGAAGAGTGGCCCGGATGGGATTAGCCGAACTCTATCAATCTTTGTCCGGACAATTCCTCTATTCCATGTGTAATGGCTACCTACATAGTTTAGGTCACTCAAACCCAACTCATTGTAGCAATCATGAAAATTTAAGGTTTCATAGGTAGAGATAACTACCTTGTTGCATTTATCATCCCGAGACAGAATGAAATTGAAATTCCCCAAAATAATCCACGGACAATTCGGATCCCACCTATGATGGTCATCCCATATAGCTTTCTTGGAAAAAAATGGTATTAAACGCGTAAACAAAAATGGCATTGAAGCTGTATCGCTCAACAAGATTAGAGATTCAAACATTCAAACCTTAAGGAGAAACATCCAGGAAATCAAGCAAAACTGTCTTGGGGTTCCAAAAAACAACTATACGGGCATAGCGAGCAACCGTAACATTGGACACAACATTCCAATCTTTAAGCCAAAGTTTATGCATTTGGGCAAGTTTTACCATCCTAAGCTTCGTTTCAACAAAAGAACACACATCCACCGCTTCTTTTTCATAAGGCATGCGGCCTCATGTCGCTCCGGGGGTTGTTAAGGCCCCCGACATTCCGAGTAGTATATTAACATACGGGAGATTGGGTGGTGGGCACTCACCTACCGCCACCTCTAGTTGTCACACCACCATTGCTAGTGGTCACCCTCTTAGAAACCCCGTCCCGACCAACTCCTCTACTAGGCGAATAGGTAGCCCCCCGAGCAATAAAAGGTACCAGCTCATCAATAACCGCCATGCCGGGGACCTCTTCCATTCTCTCGAGGGTAATCGAGGCCATTATGACTAGCGACCCCAGCAGATGGGCTACCTAGCCACCTCCGGCCCTCCTCAATGTCACATAATGCACCACCCCCCGTTGCCTTAGCTTTCCCTTTACCAAATCTCATGTGCGAATTTGGAGTGGAGGTTACTAGCCGAACATTTTGGGACCCATTCCGTACCGAAGCGACGAGTATCAATCGGCTTGTTATGGCGTAAGCATTCGCCTTGGAAGAGATTGCTTCGACCCGGCTCAACGAGTAGCAACTCGATCTATAGTAGATTGGGTCGGCCCTTTGTCCTTTCTCCCGATCGTTTCCCAACCAGCAGAATTTCTAGCAAACTCGGAATGCATGGGGTCATATCTCTCGGCTTAATCACAAGCAACAGTACCGCAACAGACGACCCAAGCCTAGCAACCATGCTAGCTTGAGCTTGATTACCTACAACCACAACATCAACAGCCCTTCTCTATCTCCACGGATGTAGGGGACACGACTTTTCATTTGGAAGTCACATGGCCTAAGACTTTGCAATGTTTGCAGTGAAGAGGAACCGTTTCATAGATCACGGTTTCGAGCGAGCTTGGACCCATTCGATAAATCAATGCTCACCACCCCCGGTAGGACATCCATGATATTCATCTCAACAAGGACTTGAGAAAAATAAATTCTATCCATTGAGGCTGTCAGTTGGTCACATTGTATCGGTTTGCCAAGAAAACTTGCTCTTTTAGATAGGTCGTATGTGGACCAACATTTTAAGGGAAGGTTGGGGAATTTCACCCACACGAGAACCGTTGACGTATCCCTAGGAGAGAAGTCAAAAAATTCTAGCATTAATTTCAAGATCAAGGACTCGTCATAGATCGGATAAGGGCCTCCATTCAACACCTCCAGCTTCGCATCCTCCGAATCAAATTGATAGACCGGCCATCCGCAGTCATGCAACGTCGGCTTAGCTTTACATTTCCGGGAGTTGGCAATAATAACGGTAAGAGCCCTATAACCGGGGGATTTACCGACCACATAACCCACCAAACATAATTTCCACTCATCATACTATGAATCCGTAGCAAGCAAAGCATATTTCTTACTTTCCATGATAGTGGAGAAGTGTGTGAGTTTCGGATAAAAATTAGGACTACGGTTATGCATAAATAAATTTCTCCAATTAGGTATTGGGGGATGATCACTTATAGGGGGTAGGCCCGGCGGTTGCCTCATGCAATGCTAGTGAGACTGTAGGGCAAGCTTCCTTGGAAAACCTAACTACATTTGCACTTATCAATTCAGCGAGGGCCGGCATTGCATAAGTCGAGCTCGAAGAGGTAACTTGGCAAGCTAAGTGAGCAGCAGGGGGAACATCGGCTTGTGCAACCGAACGTAGTCTCTCATTCTGTGAAGGTCGAGTCGAAGCCTCCATCAAACAGGTGGAGGGTAAGGGACCGGGCACTCGGAGTTGCTTGTTTACACTTGGATGGTTACCCAAACGCAAGTCTCCTCTCGTGCTAAATAGAATTAGCCACTCGTAAACCGACTTGTTGAGCATCAATGGCTTCAATTGAGCCTAAAAAAGAAAGGGGGCTAGGAAGAATTTTGATCGAGAGGTGGGTTTCGCTTCGAATCCGAGGAATCAACTTCTACCATAGTGAAATCGTCATCATCCGAGCGGTCCTCAACCGCCACCGAGTTAGGAGCGGGAGTAAGGACGGGTCGGTGGGACTTGCCGGCAGCCTTGGTTAGGAACCGAGTGGGAAGATGGGGAGTCTAAAGAATTCGAGAGATGGAACAGGTGCCAAAGAAGCTTCTGGGGCTATGATTGGAGTCGTATAATCTATCCCCGATGAAGGTCTGTGATGGTCGAGCGGCGGCTTTCTTTTTCTTTTTTGCCATAGGAGAAAGGAGGAACACGTGAATGGGGGAGGAGAGCGCGAATGGCGAGTAGGAAAGGGAGAACATAGGAAAGAGAAGATTGGGTGAAGAACAAGATGGAGAGGAGTGAAGTCGGGGTGTCCCAAGTAGTAGGTTGCCAAAGCTAGAGGGAAAGATCTCCATGGGAGGAGGAGAGCACCTCTCTCTTCTTTCTCCCTCTAGTGGAGCTCTTTCTTTTTTTTTTTGATTTAAATGTTAGTGTATAAATCAAAGGGAAACCGAGCTGGAGAATCAGCGAAGTAGCTTATACGGGATATACAAAAAAGTGGGAACGAGCTCCCAAGACAAAGCAAAAGTACTAGAAACTAAAAGTTGTTTAAGGAATCTAATAGTAGAGATTCCAAGAAAACTCCTCAATATACCGATCTAGCTAACTAGAACCATATACAAAGGCTCAACAGAGCATACAAAATATTAGCTAAAAGGCCAAACCGAGCTATTAAACAATTTGCAAAAACCAGCTATACACAAAGATGAGAACATAAAAACCCAAAAGGAGCAAGCAGCAACTAAGGCTAAACAAATCTAGAAGGTAGGGAAGCAAGCCTAACGGTTCTCGAGTCGCCATGCTAAGCGAGGATGAAGGAGTTGACGGAAACGGGAGCATCCATGCCGGACCCACCTTGGCGGGAAAACTACGGGACTCACCACACCCAACCAACAGTCATAGCAACGACTAGTAGCCAAGCCGTGACGGAAAACTCATAGCCACCGAGAGAGGGAAGCCTAACCAACATCAAGAATAGCAGGATCCTTTTGATGATAATAAAAGATCATGAAGAAAAGGATTTGGAACCTTCGAAAGTGTGGGCAACCGATCTATTGGTTGCCTCAAAGATCCTCCTATTCTTCTCCCCCTAAATGAGGTATACAACAATGCTTAAAGAGACCCTTTTCATCCCGGAAACCAAGTTTTTTCGTCGGGTAAATAATCCTCTAACGAAGCACTCGAAAGGGTAGACATGCCTCTAGTCGGATGTAACCACTATTTGATCCAAGACCACAGAGACCAAGACCAACTACAAGCAAAGAAGACATGATTGTGGGACTCTTCGACTTCGCGACATAGGGAACACAAGGGATCCTCGGGGATATAGTGAAGCCGATCTCGGGTTCACGGTTGCCCCTAATAGCCAACCAAAGAATAAAAGGATGCCGTGGTAAGGACCATTGTTCCCAAACCACATGGACCTATTGTACCCGATCACCTTTCGGCTCGAAATGCTCATAAGCATACTCGTATGAATTTCCCATCCCCGACTTGCCAACTCGCATTAAATCAATGACTTGCACACTATCCCCAATCTGCTGAACTAATCGATTTTTCGGAGCGAGTGATGGATTTCCACAAAGGAGAGGCTTGTTTGTGGGCTTGAGCCTCCCACACCGAATGGTGCTCGAAGATAATAGTGATGCACCCACTCGAATCCAAATCGAATCGGACTTGAAGATGAATATCCCAAAGTCGTTTAGCAATGAAAGAAGCATTGCGAGATTTGATATCAAAGAGGCCCAATCCACCCTCCTCTTTTGGGCGACAAATATGCTTCCAAGAAACTAGGGCGATCTGAATTTTTTAGCATCTTCGAGCAAAAGAAGTTTCGGTAGATGTTGAAAATTCTAGAAATAACCATAGAGGGAAGGGGGAAGATAGATATCCAAGATCGGATCATGCCGGTCAAAACAGACCGTGAGAGCTCTAATCTACCGACAAAAGAAAGTTGCTTCCCCATCCAACCCCGAATAGCACCGTTAAGCCTCCGAAGAAGCAAAGAAAACCGATCGGCTAGTAATCTATATGGACTAAAAGGGACTACGAAATATGTTAAGGGAAAGGTGCCTTCACCGAAACCCGAATCTTGAACAATAGCAGCTTCTCGATCGTTGTTGACTCCCTTAAAATATATTAAAGACTTGGCGGCATTAGTGACCAACCCCAAAACCCTACCAAAACCAGCCAGTTGGCCAAGCAAACAATGAACCGACCGCCTATTCCCGTGGCATAAAAGAAGAACATCATCGATAAAGGCGATATGGTCGATACATTGAGCCTCACATTTCGGGTGAAAATTGAACCTCTCTCGGGCAATAGCAATCCCAAGCATGCGAGAGAAATACTCCATACAAATAATGAAAAGATAGGAGGAAAGAGGGTCTCCTTGCCTAAGCCCACTCGCCCCGGAAGAAACCAAAGAGCCTTGCATTCATGGCTACCGAGAAAGAAGTAGACCCCACACAAGCCATAACCATGGTCATGAAGAAAGGCAAAAACCTAATCCGGAGTAGAATGGCTCTTGGAAAATTCCACCGAACCGAATCAAAGGCCTTAGAAAAATCCACTTTAACCAAACATCGTGGAGAGGCTCGCTTCCTTCCATAAAGCCAAAGGAGCTCCCGCCCAAGGTGAATATTATCCGACATTTTTTGTCCCCTTAGGAAAGCATTCTGCATGGGGCTTATAATGCCTATCAAAGCCCTAGCAATTCCGAAGGAGAGAAGCTTGGAAATGACTTTGTAGATGACATTACAACAAGAAATAGGTCGAAAGTCGATCGACATGGTAGCATGGGAAGATTTGGGAACCAAGGCTATGATGGAGCGATTAACTTGCTTCAACGAGCTTTCCTATTGAGAAAAAGTCCCCCACGGCTAGACGAAATCAACACCCACAATGCCTTAAGCCATTTTATAAAAGAGTAAGGAGAACCCATCCGGCCCCAAAGCCTTAGTGTTATCAATACCGAAAGCTGCCTCCTTAATCTCATCATTAGACACAAGGGAAAGCGAGCATGTCTTAGGTGACTTGATCTAAACATGAGCCCGATGCACCGACATCCAAATCCAAAGGCAATTTATCCCTAGCCGAACCAAGGAGGTTCCGAAAGAACCCTACAAATTCCTCTCCCACGGCATCAACCGAAGTGGTGACATGCCCATTACGACCCCGAACTACGGCTATGAAATTTCTCCCGTGATTCGACCCATAAGTGAATGAAAGAATTGTGTGCCTCGATCACGAGTCTTGAAGGAACTTATACTTCTAGCTTTTGGCCAAAGAAAGATTTTTTCATCACTTTGAGGTTGAGCACACGAAGCCGTAGGCTTCGCTCCTCGACTAGAAGATGAGAGTTAGCTCGGTCATTCCGTAAAGCTTCTTAGTTGAGAAGGAGGTCAACTTCTGCTCTAGACACCCATTCGGAAATATGACTAAAATGCAACGTATTCAACTCTTTCAAAGACCACTTCAACAAGTTAATTTTTTTGCAAAAGAAAAACATAGGGGTTCCCTGGATGTTAACTTGCCAATGCCGCCCAACAATGTGAAGGAAACTATCATGAGAAGTCCATATGTGAAAGAACTTGAAGCAAGTCGGCTTAGGGGAGACCGGGTATTCGATTGGATGGAAGTCGTAGCATGATTAGAGATAGCACACGGTGTCTTGTAATGAACAAGAGCGAGTAGCCGAAGAGTGGCCCAAATGGGATTAGCTAGAACTCTATTAATCTTTGTCTAGACGGTTCCTCTATGCCATGTGTAATGGCTACCTACATAGTTTAGGTCACTCAAACCCAACTCATTGCGAGCAATCACGAAATCCGAGGTTTCCTAGGTAGAGACGAGTTGCCTTGTTACGTTTATCATCCCGAGAGAGAATGAAATTGAAATCCCCCAAAACAATCCATGGACAATTCGGATCCCACCTACGAAGGTCATCCCATAAAGCTTTCCCGGTAGAAATGGTATTAAATGCATAAACAAAAGTGGCATTGAAGCTATACTTGCTCAACAAGACTAGATATTCAAACATTCAATCCTTGAGGAGAAACATCCGAGCAATCAAGCAAAACTGTCTTGGGGTTCCAAAAACAACTATACGACATAGGGAGCAACCGCAACATTGGACATAACATTCCAATCTTTAAGCCGAAGCTTATGCATTTGGGTAAGTTTTACTATGCTAAGCTTCGTTTCAACAAAAGAACACATATCCACTTGCTTCTTTTTCATAAGGCCTGCAGACCTCATGTTGCTTCGGGGGTTGTTAAGGCCCATGACATTCCGACGAGTATATTAACATACAAGAGATTGGGTGGTCGGAACTCGCCTACTTCCACCTCTAGTTGTCACACCCCACTCCTAGTGGTCAACCTCTTAGAAACCACGTCCCGACCAACTCCTCTACTAGGCGGATGGGTAGCCCCCGAGCAATAGAAGGTACCAGCTCATCAATAACTCGTCGTGCCGGGGACCTCTTTCATTCTCTCAAGGGTAATTAGGCCACTATGACTAGCGACCTCGATAGATGGGGCCGCCTAGCCACCCACGGCCCTCCTCGATGTCGCATAATGCACCACCCCGTATTTCCTTAGCGTTCCCTTTACCAATTCTCATGTGCGATTTTGGAGTGGAGGTTACTTGGTTGAACATTTCGGGATGCATTACGTATCGAAGTGGCGATATCAATCGGCTTGTTATGGTAGAAGCATTCTACCTTGGAAGACATTGCTTCGACTTGGCTCGGTAGTAGCAACTCGATCTATAGTAGATCGAGTCGACCCTTTGCCCTTTCTCCAAACTATTTCCCAACCAATAGAATTTCTAGCAAACTCGGAATGTATGGGGTCATATCTCTCGGCTCGATTACGGACGGCGGCTAAAACAGACGACCCAAGCACGGCAACCATGCTAGCCCATGCCCGATTACCGACGAACCACAACATCGGCTACTCTTCTCTCTATCTCCACGGATGCAAGGGACACAACTTTGTATCTAGAAGTCGCATGGCTTAAGACTTTGAAATGTTTGCGAGTGAAGAGGAACCATTTCATAGATCACGATCTGGAGCGACTTAGACCCATTCGGCAAATCAATGCTCACCACCCCCGGTAAGACATCCATGATATTTATCTCAACAAGGACTCGAGCAAAAGAAATTCTATCCATGGAGGTTGTCGATCGGTCACATTGTATCGGTTTGCTAAGCAAACTTGCTATTTTAGATAGGCTATATGTGGACCAACATTTTAAGGGAAGATTAGGGAATTTCACCCACATAGGAACCGTTGACATATCCCCAAGAGAGAAGTCAACAAATTCCGAGCATTGATTTCAAGATCAAGGACTTGCCATAGATCGGATAGGGGCCTCCATTCAACACCTCCTATTTTGCATCCTCTCGAATAAAATTGATAGACTAGCCATCTAGAGTCATGCAACATTAGCTTGGCTTTACATTTCTAGTAGTTGGCAATAATATCGGCAAGTGCCCTATAACCAAGGGATTTATCGACCACATAACCCACCAAACATAATTTCCACTCATCATACCGTGAATCCGTAGCAAGCAAAGCACATTTCTTACTTTCCATGATAGTGGAGAAGTGTGTGAGTTTCGGACAAAAACTTGGACTACGGTTATGCATAAATAAATTTCTCCAATTAGGTATTGGGGGATGATCACTTATAGGGGCGTAGGGCCATCGGTTGCCCCATACAATGCCGGTGAGGCCGAAGGCGAGCTTCCACGGGAAAGCTAGCTACATTTATCACCTACCAATTCAGCGAGGTCGGCACTACACAAGTCAAACCTAAAGAGGTAAGTCGGCGAGCTAAGTGAGCGAGCGGGGGAACATCGGCATGTGCAACCGAACGTAGTCTCTCATTATGTGAAAGGCCGAGTCGGAGCCTCCATCAAATAGGTGGAGGGCAAGGGACTAGGCACACGGAGTTTCCTGTTTACACTTGGATGGTTTCCCAAACACAAGTGTCTTCCGTGCTCGAATAAAATTAACCACTCATAAAGCCGGCTTGTTGAGCATCAATGGTTTCAATTGAGCCTAAAACGAAAGGGGGCTCGAAAGAATTTTGATCGAGAGGTGGGTTTTGCTTTTGAATCCGAGGAATCAACTTCTTCCATAATGAAATCATCATCATCCGAGCAGGTCCTCAACCACCACCGAGTCCGGAGCAAGAGTAGGGATAGGTCGGTGGGACTTGCCGATAGCTTGGTTAGGAACCTAGTGGGAAGATGGGGATTCCAAAGAATTCAAAGAAGGAACATGCCCCAAAGGAGCTTCTAGGGCTATGATTGGAGCCGCATAATCTGTCCCTAATGAAGGATGTGATGGTCGAGCGAGTAGATTTCTTTTTCTTTTTAGCCATAGGAGAATGGAGGAACACGTGAATGGGGGAGGAGAGGGCGAATTGCAAGCGGGAAAGGGAGAACATAAGAAAGAGAAGATTGGGTGAAGAACGGGATGGAGAAGAAGGAAGTAAAGGAGTGCCGAGCGGTAGGTTGCCAAAGCTGGAGGGAAAGATCTCCATGGGAGGAGGAGAGCACCTCTCTCTTCTTTCTCTCTCCTAGGTGCACACTTATTGAGAGCTCTTTCTTCTAGTAGAGCTCTTTTTTTTATTTATTTAAAATGTATGTGTATAAATCAAAGTAAAACTAGCTGGATAGCCAGCAAGAGTAACATATACGGGTTTTACAAAATGGGAACATGCTCCCATGAAGCGGGAACCGGACCTAAGTCTAGATGGTTGCTCAAGGAATCGATCTAGCGAAGATTCCAAGAGAAACCAAATAGGAACCAAGCAGTAAACTAGCTAGTACGCTTTACAAAAACCTCAACGACGGACAAAAACCTTGTCGAGAGGGCAAAAAAGAGCAAAGCCTAACCATGTACAAAAGCAATTTTGGATACGACGAGAAAAACATCATACGACCAAGATAGGAGCGCTTGGGCTAGCCATTGCCAAAACGGGAAGGGCGAGCAGAGCCTACCCTAATAGTGCGACGAGTCCGGATGCGAGTGGAGCTTCGAGCAATAGCTTGGCGTGACGAGAAACAAGGAGGTCTTAAGCCCTTAACCACGGAACAAGGAGGCCTTACGGTACGAGTAGGCTCGCCTAACTAGGTACGAGTAGGCGTGGCCGACGGTATGAGCAAGCGGACCCCTATTGTGCCCTAACAACATAGCGGGAATAGGGGCTAGCGGGGCCGGCGGCAACGGCTGGCTTGCCCGCACGGACGACGAAAGGGCCGCATGATAAGAGGTGGATAGCAGCAAGCGGGAGCGAAGCAACGGGCGAGCAAAGGGGCAAGTCGGGCAAAAAACCACACGGGGGAAGGGGAAGGTCGGGGGGTCAAACATAAAGGAGCATCCGAAGTATCTACCTTTGGCACGGGACAAAAAGAGGCTTAGACACAATACATGAGTCTGGACCGGTGAAGCCGAATCGGGGGTAATTGAATCAATACCGTGGAATCTACTAGCTCGGCAGAAGTGAGGGACCGGCGAAGCGGGGAGACGAAGCTAGGCGAGAAGAATGGGGGAAGGCCTAGTTCATGACTAGGCCAACCTAACAAACATATCAAGCCATCCAAGGTTGGGACACCCATAGCACAAAACGATAAGACCAACGAGCAGCGAGAGGCCAAGGAACATAAGCCATCCAAAACAAACCGAGAGCCAACCAAAACAAACCAAAAGCCAACCAAACCAAAAACCAGAGCCCATACAAAAAAACAACCCATATCCAACCAAACCGAAGCCAACCAAAACAAAAGCCGGGGCCACACAAACAATCAAGTAGACCTACAATCAAACTACGAGGGGGTAAGCCACCGGCGAGGGGCAAGGTCAACCAACGCCAATCATCGGCGGCGGAGGCCCGGGATCAAACACAAAGGAGCATCCGAAGTGGCTACCTAGCGCAAAATAAAAAGAGGCTTGGGCACGATAGAGGAGCTAGCTCGGTGAAGCCTAATCGATGTGGACCGGTAGTTAGGGGAACAAGAGAATGCGGACTAATCGAGCTAGCCAAGGTAGAGACAGACGGAGGTGAAAAAACAAGCCGAATCCATATTGTGGAATCTACTAGCTCGACGGAATGGAAGGACCGGCGAAGCGGGAGGAACGAGCGGCTAGCGGAGCGAAGTAACAAACAAGGTGGAAAAATAGGCTAGGCGAGGCGGAATGGGAGCAAGGCCTAATTCATGAGTAGGCCAACCCAACGGAACTATCAAGCCGACCAAGACTAGGACACCCATAGCGTAAAACGGTAAGACCAACGAGCAGCAGAGGCCAAGGAGCGGAAGCCACCTAAAAACAATCCGAAGCCAACCCAACCAAAAGCCGAGCCCACACAAAACAACCCATATCCAACCAAACCGAAGCCCACCAAACCAAAAGCTAAAGGCCACACAAACAATCAAGCGGACCTACAATTAAACCCGAAAAAAGGGTAAGCCACCAGCAGAGGCAAGCTCAAACTAACTCCAATCATCGGCGGCAGAGGCCGATGGCACGAGTCGAAAAGAACCAAGAGGGAGTAGACGAGGCTCCAAAGAGGAGCTACCCTTGATCGGAATATAGCCCCATAACCACCAACTCAAAACGGACTAGAGGAGCCAAGCAACCCGGGAAGACTCGAACTCGAGGGACCAAACGAAGCAATCTGTCCGGATAGTACTCGGAGCTCTCAAATAGGAAATCAAGGCACACCCACGAGATAAGAGGAGGGGGTCCGATTCATGAAACTAGAAAATCGTGTAGAAGATTATCCGGAATTTACGAAACACACGAGCTACCGTGCTAGCTAAGGCATCAAAGGCATGCTCGTTTCGCTCTTCCTAGATGACATAAACTTGCGATACCGAGGGCCACTCTCCTCATTTTCACTTCAAGGTTGTTACGACGATAAGATAGGCCTCCGATCGCACTAGTGAGTGTATGCATACCCCTACGGATTCGGAGCCATTGCTTGATTGTCAACCGGAGGTTGGTCGTCCAAGGCGAGGAGAAGAACAAGTGGTGAATGGACTCGGAGGCTTGATCGCAAAGGAGGCATGCGTCGGTGGTGGGCGAAACCGTAGATGGTCCTTAGTTTTTAAGGCTCCCCAGGAGCTAGCCGGAAAATAAAGGAATACCGAGGCGGGGACCATGACTCCCAAATCACCCTACCCCAAGCACACGGGCGCCCTAATCGGCCGAAGCCGTGTATATACGAGCATTAGAGAAATTTCCTCCTCCCGAGTTCCACCTAGCAAGCTCGCATATAGCTACATCTTTACTCGCATATTTCATGACAAGCAAGTCTTTCACATGAAGAATAGCTTTCCACAATGGCGAAGCATTGCGGTGGGCGAAGCATCCCATACTTGGCGACCTTGCAAGTAAAAGTGGTGGATCCAACGGATCCAAATGAAGTCGACCTTAAGGTGTATGTCCCGAGCCTTTGGACCAAAAAGCTTTGGTTTTTTACTTTGATATCAAATACCCCAAGGCCCCCTCAAATTTAGGGGAACGGAGGCTCCGCCAAGCCACCAAAGCCGAAGAACATCTATTGACATCTCCCATCCATAAAAAATTCGACACATACCGGTGATGCGTGCAATGACCACGGTAGGCATAGGAAAAATAGCGAGCCGGAATTGTATCATGTTGAAGAGGACGGATTTGAGGAGCTCTAGTCGACCCACATAGGATAGATGTTTTCCCATCCAGCTCTGGATCGATGAATCAAGACTATGTAGCAAAGGAGCAAACTAGCTAGAGAGCAAGCGATGAGGACTTAGAGGGACCCCTAGGTATTTGAAGGGGAAAGAACCTTCACAAAACCTAGTTTCTCGAAGGATGGATTCTTTTAGATCACTTCGACCCCACCAAAAAAGATGGAGGACTTGGCCACATTGATGGCTAGGCTGGAAACACTCTCAACGATAGGCAATTGGTCGGTCGGAATCTTGATGGAGGCGGCATCGGCACGGCTAAGTAATAAGACATCATCCGCGAATGCTAGGTGGGTGATGGCATGGACCCCGCACCGAGGATGGAAGCAAAAATCAGAATTCCTAGCAGACAACCTTCGGTAGGCGAGAGAAGTATTCCATGCACACCACAAATAGGTAGGGAGAGAGGGGTCGCCTTGCCTAACCCTAGCCTTACCCGAGAAGAAACCAAACAAGCCCCCATTGACCGAGATAGAGTAGGAGGCCGATTCAACACATGTCATAATCCAACCAACAAATATGTCCAGGAAACCTAATTTTAATAAGAGCTATTTTAGGAAATCCCACTACACGAGTCAAAGGCCTTACGGAAATCAATCTTCATTAGGCACCTCGGGGAAGCACATTTTCGACCATACATACGAATTAACTCCTGAACCAAATAAATATTGTCCGACATTTTTCGACCCCCGGGTAGGCATTCCGCATAGGATCGACTATATCCATTAGTGCCAAGGATAGCGGGAGGAGATGATCTTGGTGATGACCTTATAGACGACATTACAACACGAGATTGGCCTAAAGTCGGTTGGCAAGGTAGCATTAGTCTTTTTGGGACCGGAGTTACAACAGAGTGGCCAACCTATTTAAGGAGTCGCCTGGATACAAAAAGTCTTGAACTCGTCGCACAAAAATCTTGTCCAACAATCTCCCAAGCTCGTTTGAAGAAGAATGAGGAATACCCATCGGGGCCGGGTGCCTTGTCATTGTCTATGCTTGAAGAGTGTCTTTTTGATGAGGTCCACCGTGACCAGGGAGAGAAGCCAGTCATGGCTGGCCGTATGTAGGCAAGGCCCACTAGCAACAATCTGCGGGTCGAGGGCACCATAGCTTTGGTGGTACCTAAGAGGTTATGATAGTAGGAAATGAATTCCTCTCCTACTTCGCGATAGAGGTAGTGGAGCTCTTTCTTGATTCTATGGGTGGTGGTGCATGGACATTCTTAGTTGGTGGAGCGATTTGTCCGGTTAATTTCATTAACGAATGAGACCTCGACTCGCTATATAGCTATGCGTAGGTGACCCTCTGCGGCCGGCTTCTTAAAGGGACTATGGCCTTGCGGAGCCAAGGAAGTTTGAGGCAATAACATGCCCGTGATGCCCTTAGATGTTCTAGGCCGCACGCACGCTATACCGATTTATTCAACGAGTCTATAGCCTTGGCGGATAGGCCCGGGTAATCTTTGAAATTTCATCGTGATGGGGATAGATCATTGCAATTGTTGGTCTTCAACGAAGAATTCCTAGTAAGCGCGAGTCATCGGCTCGCGTTGACTACGTCCCTGCCCTTTATACACATCGCCCGTCGC